AGTGTCCAAATGAAAAAAAGATGACCTTCATGTTAATAAATAAATGTTGCGTTTACGTATATGATGCAAGCGTATTAAAGCGCAAGCCCAACATCAGAGGAACGCCTTAAATCTCACCGTTAACTGGCCACCAGAATCTGCTTATCTAAACGGGTGATCGTACCAGAGGGTTCATGAAAAGGGCATATAATTCATGAAGAATATTTCACGGATTGCTTGTCGAGCTAAAAGAAGTCTGCAAGCCGAGATCAAATAAATAAAAGATAAAGGTGTAGAACTGTTACTTTCCTCTTCAGTCGATCTAACAAAAGGGAAAACACTGATATCAGAACTCGGACGACACAAACCAAATAACGAAATTAAAGCCAGAAATCATTATAACATTATTCTGGCTTATATGTGCTAAAAAGATCCAACGAAATTAGAGGTTCTAGAGAGCTCCATGACAACAGTTAAGTCTCCGTAACCATGTTTAAGGGCCCTCGCCGCTAATAGGCCCTCCTGTCCGATAAAAACGTGTCCAACTTATTCCAAGTATTGACTGAAATTGTCTTATTATTATTAGGTAATATGTCACATACGAGACCGCCGAGACCGATGATACATCAGAATTTTTTCCTTCCGTACGTCCAAGAGTCAACTTAAAATATTTCTCGGCGACAGAAAAAAATCAGTGATGTTGTTATACTCACTTTGCAATCTATTTTGATCGAGGGAAAAAGAATGTGACTGAGAGTGAATAAACGAATATGCAAAATCGTAATTTAACGAACCTCCCAGTGCAGTTACTATGAATTCCCACAAAACTGTTAACCAATTGCGCCCTTCTGTTTCGTTTGAAGCCTATTTATTATTATATTACAGACAGAGAGAGAGAGGTGTTGATTGAGAGATGTTTAATTGTTTCTTTTACAGATTTTTCATTTAGTTCTTATGCACATGCTCTTTTTTAGAACCTCTTGACAGGGGAGTGGCTAGGATCGTGGACAGCAATACGCCACTTATTCCAGGGGAGGTAGGCTACTGTTAACTGGTAATGTATAAGGGGATTCTTTGATTGCAATTTTTGCCTCATTAATGTGAGCCATCCAGTTTCTGATCAAGCTATAAAAATATCATTCCTGGCATGATATTGAAAAGGTATAGCACGAGTAACAAAATTACTGTGCCAAGGAATTGGAGGTGATGTAGCAATTTAATACTTTTTAAGTTAAGCTCACCATCAACTCGATTGGCAATGAATCAAGTCTAGAAATACCCAAAGTTTGGACCGTCGAGCGTCTGAACATTTCCGACGCTATAGACACGGGTTAAAAAACTCAAAGCTTTACAAAGAATGCATGAACTTGTTACCACTTTTGTCATCCAGAAATTTTGCAGTTCTTGAAAGCTAATTTTTAATATTACACCCAATGCAAAGAGCTTAAGATTTCATCATCTACTAAGTTTTATTAGCTTTTTAACTGTCTGGTTCCAATTTACATCTAACATGATGTCCCCTTAACGGAAAGGCGTATGCTAGTAAGGCAAAATGTCAACAACTAACAGCAGCCAAGATCACCCTATATTGACGCAAAGAACGAAATTTAGGGCTAGTTTCAACTTCACACTTTTCTGCGCCATATTTGTATAGGACAAGGAGATGAAGGAGGCGGAGGAGGTGGTGCTGGTAGCGGAGAAGAAGAATCAGGAGAAAGAGGATCGGATGAGGTTGGCAACCTCGTCATTCTTGCTAGAGGAAGAGGAGGAGACGGACAAGGAGGAGGAGAAAAAAAGATCATCCTTCTTTCAGGAGGTACGTTGACTTATTGGGTCATGCGAATATCAAACTTGATTTAATTATGCTTCAGTGGCACAGCAACGCGGATAGCACAGTTGAAAGCGCGGCCGTTGAGCTTGAAGCTGGCGGAGTTTGACGGTAGTTCTGCATCGGCTAGTCAAGTTTGTATGTCTTTTTACGTTGGCAAAGATGTAGAATCATTGGTTAAATCATTTCTCATTTTTCTGACTTATTATATCGAAGAGCCCTAGCGGATCAATGACAAAGATGCAAGTAAACGTTGAGATGGACGACCTAACAAAGGAAAAGGACCATCCAACAATTAAATTTGTACAGCCCAATAGGAAAGGTTGGTGGATAGTCTGCATATTTCTAAGTTGCCTTAATTAACCCAGCACTGAAATGTTTTTATTTCTGTATCACGGCATTCACGAGTAAGAAATCATTGCCATCTGAGGTTAGGCTTCCAATTAAAAGAGTCAACATAATTAATTTATTAACGAGACAAATGGACGAATAAACAAAGACATGCCCTTCAAAAATTCCTGATAATATCATTTACCATGAAGTGACACAAACAAAAAACTGTAAAATAAAAAACTTAATTTAATTTGCAAATTTTCAGCTGAAAAATATCAAGTCTCATGAATGTTTTTAAAGTAGGTAACGATAATGGCGATGGCGAGGGCAATGGTGATAACAATGGCAAGGGCGACGCCGACGGTGATGGTGACGATGATGGCAACAGGAATGGTCATGCAAGAGCCCATGGCAATGCAAAGGGTAATTGTACTCAGTGATGAGGAATGTACCTATAAGTTCTTATGTGGCTGTTAGGCCGAGCATTTAAACATTTGAAACAAATATGCCAAATTTAAGTAACAAGGTAACGACAGTCTCTGTTCCTTGAACTATCCAAAACATTTCCACATAGAACATATCCTTGCTTCCAGGTTTGATTTTTTTGCGGAACAACAAACTCTGCCATTTTTTTCCCCGCGCTGCCGGCCAGCAAGCGCTACGGACCAGTGATGTAGCCGTTCGTTGGGAGGAGGATAAACAACCCTACTCCCAAAACGGCTGGAAATCGAGCCTAGCACTGAATTTAGCCATAGTTAGTCTCCCTTACTAACTATGATTTAGCCTGCGAAAACAGCCCCCTTCTTCACGCCACTCGGTCTGGGAGCGAAGAAGGACGGCTATTTTCGCAGGCTAAACTGAACTGGGTCCAAGGGATTTAACGGTGTGGGCGTTTAACGGAGGTTTTGTCAGCGTTAAGCGGCTAGACTGCGTAGCATCGGCTCTGACTTCCACTGATCACATGTTGATCCATCACCTCCGCAATGTTCCAGCACCCAGTCACACTCTAGGTTGGGGAGAGGCAATGTGACAGTGAACGCTGCATGGTGTTGCTCAAAACCACAACTGACGTAAGGACCACAGTGAGCCAGAGCTCAAACTCCGACTTCTCCAGTCGCGGATGTAGCGTAGACTACACAATCCATCTCTCTTATTTGTTCTCTTGCTTGCAGAAAATCTAATAAAAATCATAGAAAGAGGAAATATTGACGAGATCACTCAGGAACTGACACCAAAAGCAATGGCAAAGTGTGGCAGAAACGCGTTACTTGTTGCAATGGAGGTATGTTGAAGGAGTTTATCACAATGTCTGGATATGAACAGCGAACTCACTTTCAGTTTAACATCAAACTAGACAAAACATAAAAAATGAAACACATCTTTATTTAAGAAAAATCTTTACTACCTGGATTAGTGTTAACCAGCTTTCGAAAAATTCGGCCGTGGGTGAAGAGAGACGTACCGTGTGAGTTGGAGTAAAGTGTATTATACAATACGATGATCCGAATTAGGGCTCGAACCCAGAACCGCTCGATCCGGAAGCCAACGCTCCTCTACTGTACAAATAATACAGTAAAACACTTTGAATGCTTAATTATGAGGAAAGAGACGATGGTGCTTCCAAAAACAGCTGAATCCATGGATGTGTATTAGCATGCTAAATTGTGCAACTTTGAGTGACGAAACTTCAATTTTTTTTTTTTTTTTTCTGACGATCAATTTTGAATTCGCGCTTACTCGTGAAATCCCATTTTGAATCGTGCCATTAGGTACTCTTAATTTTTCCCTTAAACAGAGACGTGAAAATTTCATGTCGGGGAAATATATGTATTCAGATATTTTTCGTTTAGTGTACATACTTGATGTTACTGAACAGCTTCGCTGGACGTAAACAACTGAATGATATGCGCCGTGTTTTCTCATAAGACATACAATGTGTTTTTAAGGCGAATTCTAAGCTTCGCAGTTTGGCAAAGGAGAAAGGTCCGGGGGCAGAAGAGTTTGCGAAGATGGCTAGCTCAGTGGACGAGTTTACTTCGTGTTTACTCGACCCTCTGAAGTCCAACATGGAAGCGCGTCATGTACTTGGGGATTCTTTAGATGACCTAATGGATGCTGGGATTGACAGGCAGCAAAAGACGGTAAGCGGCTTTGTAGGTCATGTAGAACAGATCATTCGTAGATAGGAACTTTGAACCACGTCTCACATAACAGTCCTCGATATACTCCGCTTACATTTCCATTAACTAACATATTGCTCTTTAAAATTTCTGCTTTTACATTTCGTCTTTATACTCCCCTAACAATATTTGCAATAGTGATCCATACCATCCATAAAATGCAACATTTAGTACACAGAAAGCAAGTCGCTACGTTAAACAAGACCTGCGAGACTAATTAGGTAACTAAAAGCAAATGCCAGAAATGCTAGGCATTCTTTATGAACTTATCGCTCCTACAGTTATAACTTTCTCATCGATTTTTCAGTTTTTTGCACATCCGGTAATTTTTAACTTGATGAGTGATAAATGGCTGGGAAAGTTTGGCAGAATGAAGAGGTGTTCGTGGCTGTCACTGCAAGGCTGGCTGTGGATTATGCTGCACATCTGGTGCCTGTTTGATTTAGTGATGTTTCCTTTTCTCTTCGCTGTGTTTTACATCAAGCACCTCAGGAACAAAAACAAACTGAAAGACAAAGGTATGAAGAAAGACTCATACTCTGAATCAAGTACACTTTTCAACCCGAGGTTTGTCGAAAAACATGTTTGTGCTATGTTTCTGTCGTCTTGGGTCATTGGTTGTACAATTCAGGAATGACATTTCTTTTATTTCTTTCACCGAACATGTTAACTTTGAAAAACGAAAACCTGTAACTTAGGCTTCCAGAAAAACTTTCCCTAATGTTCCTACTTCTGACTGAGCCATCCTTTATCGAGCGTGTACTGGGATCTATCCTAGTCTAGATCTGTTTCACGAGGACGCAAGCAACATAAAATCGCGGGATACTGAACAAATGCAGTGAGGTGGGGTGGGTCAAGAGAAAATAAACGAGGTCGACCTCGCGCTCAGTGCTCGTTCTATTGCGCTCTCTATTTAGGCCGGGTGCACTTTTGGTTAAGTAAACTTTGCCCTCCCAATAGCTTCAAACAACACTGTGCCTCATCTTCCAATTTAGGAATAGAGATTGCTTTTTTGATAAATGCAACTTCGAAGAATGCTGTCAAAGTCTTCAACCTGATGACAAGATCCATAAGGGAATTCGTCGACAAACATGGAGATGACAACAAATATCAAGTTGTTATTCACGGAGATAATTCCTCTCCAAGAAAAATGTGCTCTAAGAGTGACATTGACAAATTAGAACTCAAAAGAGGAACTACAAAGATTCCCGCCCTTCATGAAGACCTTAAGAACGCTAATTTCCTAATTCGCAGCTCCGAGAGGAAGTCAGAGAAGGTAACAAAGTGTGATTGCTATTTAATTGTAAATATGGATTGCCGCCTTTAATTTTGCTTTCAGTTACTAAGCAAAATAATTACAATTAGTTCAAACACCGGTCGGTGGGCCAGCCGGTGCGATCCAGTTTAAATAATCTCACAAAAAATTCCATGGATCATTTCATCATATCGATTTTCAAAAAGGCCATGAATCAAATGCAGATATAGTACTTAATTTAATACCTTACGCAGTATTGGCAATTTTCCTTTTTTGGGGGGCCAATCATTCAATCTGAGTTTATACCGAGCTTAAGAAAATCGTCGGCTAAATCGGAATTTTGCCTGAGAACAATTACGGCAGAGTGGACAGCTCAGTTTTCTCCTTCATTAAAGTTGCCTCGGTGGAGAGGGCACCCGAAGCCCGAGTTTTTCTAAGGGAAATGAAAAATTGGAATCAAATATTACTTTTGAAATAACTCATGGACGCAGGATATGCAATGGTATGTCATATGTAATTGTTTCCAGAAAAATTCCTTATGAAGTCGCAAAATTTGACAGCTTGTAGTTTCGCTTTGTATTTCATATCTTTTTTTTTTCCTTTTACAGTTACAATTACACAATACACTACATAAACCTTGATAAACTATTCTTACAAGCACCTACAGATCTACAGTAAATTGCTCCTCTTATCATGTTTCCTTAAAGTTGGGCAGGAAAAATTCGGTAATTAACATTTGAAGACAATTTTGCAGTTAAGTTTGCGCCAAGAGAGTGCGTCTGAATAGCATTTCTTTAAAGTTGTCAATTTAGATTTCAAATTCTAAAGAAATTGTTACTGCCATAGGGACTGGAACATAAAAGCGAAACTACTGCTGATTATTTATGAAGACTAGATTGATCATCGCAGTTATACACACAACTTAAGCAGCTGTGAGATTAAAGCCTGAAAAAAAATTAAGCCTGATTAGTTAATAAGCTTCTTACAGCCCAATTCCAAATTTTGTTCATGAAGTCACTTAAACGTTGTATAAAGAAGGTAGTATATTGTAAGTATTTTCTTTCAAATTTAAGATGAACGAATGGTTTCCTTTTCAGTTGTACCATAAGGTCTTAAACATTGCTAAAACTTACAAATTAACATTTTAACGTACTGGTGACAAGGGACATTATGTTTTGGCAGGTGATAATATTCTTCACGGATCACAAGACAAGTTTGAAACATGAGAGGGGTCTGGTAGAGAATCAAGTAAAAGACATGAAGGACATCAAGCTACTCCCGGTTGCCGTTGGACCTCACGTCAATATCCGAGAATTAGAGACTATCACCGATAATAAACTAGACATCATCCACTTTGGAGAATACGAAAAACCAGAGACAGTCTCAACACGGATTTGGCACGGTATAGCAATAACGTAACCCTGTGATATTTATCATTGGGAAGGTTGTTTGTTCTTGATGTAGGTTGATAAGAGGCATTACCAATCTGGATTAAATTTCTTAGCCTCCTTTTTTTTTAGATCCTCTTCCCAGTGGTGAAATTTTAGAGGAAATCCATCTATAATTAAAACAATTCTTAATTATTGTAAGAACTTTCAAAGCGTCTCTTGCACCTGAAAAAGTTGGAATGCCCAATGACTTTGTTGATATAAACATCGGGCGGGCATACACTGGGCGGAAACACTACTTGCAAAAACTTTTTTGCATACTGTGTGCGATGACGTCAACAATCATGTGACTATGAAAAATAATGCGTTTGGGCTGACCGTGCCGAACGGGTAATGATGAATTGAAAAGCAATTTAATAAATTAAGGGGGCTATACAAATGAAGAAAATTAGTGGGGACTAAGTCGAGGAGCACATCTTTTCTTCGTTGAAGCATTTAGCAGCATGAAGTTGCACGTTGGAAGATATTCTAATGAAGAAATATTCCATGACGGCTTGTTGGTTGTGACCTCATTTGTCACGTGCTCCGAAGAGCGACTCTGAGCAAGTTGTACGCCCCTTCCTCCCTCCAAAAATTGTTTTAGATTTCGTTTTCACTTTTTTGTTTGTTTGTTTCCTTTAACAGACCTGCAAGGAAAAGATATGTACGGTTAGTTCTTTATTGCGTTTTCCTGTATTTCGACAAAATAAAAAGTAGTCGTTCAGAAGCAAATTCCAAGTTTATTCAACAATCATTCAACTGGTGTTATTTAACTTTATCGCAGAGAGCTACCACGAGTATTTCACGACACCTTACTTCATATTCGTTCGTGACACGCTAAGTTATCTCACCCTCCTTGGCCTGCACATCACCTTGTGTCTCTCGCCCTCGGTCATTCCGTTCAGCGGTCTGGAGTGGGTCATTCTGGTTTTCTTTATGGGTCGAATACTGATGGAGAGCAAACAGTTTCAGAGCGTCAAAGTAGATCAGGGAAGAGGCATCGTGATTAAGAAGCGGATGGGGAACAAATATACAAGGTGCAGTGAAAATGAAGAGCAAGGCGCACAGAATGAAATCCGGGGTGGTGAGAATGGCGATGGTGAAGAAGATGAAGAAAGCTGTCGAGTATCAAGATCAACTATGTTTGCAAGGATGTGTGGAAAATACCTAAGGTATTGTCGAAATTGATTTTTGAAAAACAAAAACAAACCCGAATCATTAGCAACACCTCGTCTACGAAAGATGGATAAAACAGCCCCCCCTCCTCTCCCCCCCCCCCTTCCCCCACCCACGGGATAAACAGCTCTTCACTTGTGAGTAGTCTTATTAAACCAATATTTTTATCATTCTCGTCAACGTTAATTAATTTTGAAAGTTCATCCCAGTTCTGCTTTGTATTTCTGCGTGGAACGTTTTCACAAGATGCTGCAGTGATCTCACGATACAGTGCAATTTCCTTCTATTGGGCGAAATAAACTCCTAAAGCACTAATATGATTCGTATTTAACGAGATTGCTCATGAAAATCGTAGAACATAATAATCGAACTGATTGATCAAGCTTAACCAGTCAGAAACGTGAACGATCAAATCACTTTATCCAATGCTGAAACTCTGTCATACTACTGAACTACCTCAAAGTTTGGAAAGATGGGTTTCTCCGTTTCTTTGTCTGTTTATTTGTTTGTTTGCTTGGTTGGTTGGTTTACAACGGACAGCCTGTTTCTGAGGCGTTTTCTATCTCAACTCGGAATGGTATGCTGTCATGTGCATTAATTTTCTCTTTTGCTGCTTCCTTTAAATTCAGCGACCGATGGAACATTTTGGATTCCATAACTCTAGTCATCTACTTGATCACCTTTCTGTTGAGAATGTTGACATGGGCCACGGCTGCATCAGTGACCAACAACCGAGCTCTTGTTATAGCCGGTTATCTGTACGGCCTCAACACCATGTTCCTCACACTTAGGGCGTTTGGTCATGTCATGGAGACCATTCAAGGGATTGGGACCATCCAAATAGCTTTGTTTCAGATCATTGGCGACATTGCTACGATATTTTGGCAGTTCGTGGCGACCATTTTGGCTTTCTCCATCGCCATAACAAAGGTGTATATGGCAGAAAAGTCGTACATTGCCCAGGAAAGCTACAAAGATAACCTGTGAGTATGACACAACGCCTTGATAATGCTGACTTATTTTAACATGCCTCGGTCACGTGAGCCTTATACTGACAGAGGCGTTGAATTTTGTGTCAAGCAAACACCTTTTAGTTTCGAACGTAACAACAACCTTCATTCCTTTCTCTAAATTAGGGAAATAATTAAACTCGAGGCGCTGGGAAGAGGTCGTCATTTTCGAAACAACATTTATATAATTTCAACAACATTGTAATTTCCGGACGGTAGCAAGTTTAGGGATATGGTTACATGACATGACATGTCCTGTGGTGTACGTAATCATGGACATGTTCAGCATGCAGCAGAAATATAATCTCCTCCTCATACTATGTAAGGGCCTCCTCATATGAGCCCGGTAACCGGGCTGGCTCGGTTACCGGGACGAATTTTGTTGTCTGTTCATTTGTTGTCTGTTGTCTGAAATTTCGGCCCGGTAGAACGGGATGAAATCCAAGAAACACAACCAAAATGGTGAACCATAAACTTGTATCGTTCGCGGCTGTCGTAGCTTTCTGGACTCTTGTAACTTTACTAATAAAGCTAATTCGCATACTCCCAATGTGGAAATACATACAAGACAAAAATTATGCCATTTTGGCCGCTATGTTGCGAAAGCGAAGCTATTTTGTCGAAAAAGTTTCGCCCCGGTTACCCGGGCTGGAGTGTTCATATGGAAAAATTTTCATCCCGGTTACCGAGATCTCGGTCGCAAAAACCGGGATCTCGGTAACCGGGGTCAGCCCGGCTTCTCATATGAACACATCGAAATTTTTACGGAGGAAAGAGTGTCGAGGCGAGATCTCGGAAACCGAGCTAGCCCGCTTGACCGGGCTCATATGAAGAGGCCCTTAGTTATTATCGTTGACCTCCTTTAACGGTCGCAAACGACTACTACTATGCACCGGTGGGACTCCATATGAAAAGGTCGGGAATATTCGTCTTCTCCTTAGCTTTAGAGGAGTAAATCAGGGATTTTGGTGTTCCTTAGGGTGCAAAGACAAAACGCCACTATTTTTAGCCGTCGAAGTATCTCTTTTAGGATGCTTCGAAAGAAATAATAGGAGAAACGCTGCCATTTCCGTTTAAAGTGGTATCCTTTATGGTTTAAATAAAGCTTAAACCACACCCAAATTGGTCTCTTTTACCTGTTTAATTCAAACTTTCCGACGAGGATCCCTGACCTTTCATAATGGAGCCACTCCCACCAAGGCTATACTGTGTAGCCCCAGAAAGATGGACATACTTTTCTAAATTACTTACTCGGATAACTGGATTTTATTTCAGTGCTTGCAATACATCTGGGATTTCCTGGTAAGTTAGATCCTCCTTCTTATAACTTAAATTAGGCTCAGCAACGCATAACTGTCAATTTGGTTCAGAAATAAAACGATCATTTCCACTTGACGCACGGTTCGTCAGAAACTTCTTCAGATTCCTTCTTCATTGCAAATGTTACAGGAGAGAATGATAATGAGTATGTAAGAGCATAATAAGAAAAAGATAAGGGATTGATAAAAATAACCTTAAATTGTTGAACTTGCTGATTAAAAGATGGGGTTTTCTCACAGGATGTGCAAAGCGTCCTTGCTGCTGTACATCCAGCTTTTGGTTACTGTAAATTTATAATTCTAAAGTTTTCAAACTTCAATTTCTCTCTTTAAGTTGGTGGGCGATGTTTAAACATCTTTGGTGGTCTCTACTGGGTATAGCGGAATTGGATCCTCTGGACTCTGTCGACAGTGCCTCAGTGACGCTGGCTCAATTATTGTTTGGGGCCTTTCTTATTATGGGGGTAGTTCTCCTTGTCAACATGATGATAGCTCTCCTGTCGAACACATACCAGCGAGTGGAGGTAACAAATTTTGGCTATTTCCTTTTTTTTTCGAGAAAGTCAGTGTATAATTGTTCCATGCAAATATTATCTCCGATACATGACTGATCAAATAGCTTCTAAGTCAGTAAGTGTGCAAAGCCCCAAACCTGGAAAGAATGTTTCTTTCTTCTGCACTTGTAATGAAACTGCAATCAGCCCGCTCCATTTTCCACAGGATTATATTTCTTCAACATCATTTACGCACAAACAGTTGTATTCCAGTTTACCACATTTAATAATAAACAAGGCCACAATGTAAATGTTATTTCGCGTAGTCGCAAGAGTGCTCGGTGCAGATACATGCAGGGCGAAATATAAAACGCATTTATATTTAATAATATCAATGCGGCAGGGCGAAAATAGGTAAATATAGCTCAGGGCGATTAATTCTAGTGTGGGCAGTTCTGTTCTGCTAAGAGTGTTTTATTTTGCTCAATAATTTTGGCTTAGGACAACGCTTACAAGGAATGGTCGTTCAAGAAAGCTATCACGATACAGACATACAGCAGCTATCATCCGATCCCAGTTCCTCTTAATCTCATCTCAAATCTTTGCGTTGGAGTCAAGAGCATGGCTTGCTGTAGAGGACAAGAAGATGCCAATGATTCCAGGGCCCGTGTATGTTCACAGTGTATTCATGTTTGTAAAATTCATTCACGCAAAGAGCACCCTGTGTGATGATCCTTATGACTTCAAGGAATGACAAGAACAGTAGAAACTCAACATAAGACTTCAATGTCGGCCATGTGGACCGCATTGACCGCAGGAAAACTACATTGCTCGTGAGCCCGCGCTGTAACTCAGCAGTATTGCGACATAATGTCACGCATATTGACACACCCTGAACCGTGGCTGTCTATAGTCGTTTTCTATAAGATTGTTGACGTTTTTTTTATTTTATACATGAAATGAAAGCAGACGCAAACAGAAGGGAAAGCTTCTTACAATTAAAAAGTCTTGAAAGCACGTAAAGTTTCGATTGCCCCCTCACGTTTCTTGTGCTTGCAACAGACGATCTATCCGACAGCGCGACAATGACCCAAACAATGGCTTTTTTGTTTGTGATCTTGATTCTTTTTACTCAACAGAACAAATCTCTGAATGCGGTTGTTCAAAATCTTCAACAAACATATTTTGCAACTTATGGATATTCTTTTCCTCTTACTGGTAAGACTATTTATTAGAAGATTAAAAAATACATAGTTCTCTTTTCAAATTTATGAAGAAACTGCTTTAGCGACTCAAATCCAGAACGGTTTTATCGCACAGGGAAACTGGCAGGCTTTATACAATTTTATTTTATCCTTTACAGGAGCTCAGTCACGGTTTGCTCATTTTGAAAAGTTTAGCCTAAATTTTTCAAATTCGTCGTTTGCAATCCGTGTCAATCTTCGTCATCCTTGACCATCCTTGTTCCTTTATGGTTTGTTATTACTTCTTTGATGTTTTTTCTTTCTTAGTAAACTATTATTTTCAGGTTTCCTTCCATTTAAAGGAGACTTTGCACGAGGCCAAAACAACTCAAAACACCGTGACTGAGTTCCGTTAAGATTACATAATGTCCTTTTGCCTCGCCTTTCATGCGAAACTAGTTAAACAGCTTTTGCTTTTACTGGCATCAGCACAAAAATTTACTTCGCAAACCTACAGCTTCCTTTTAGTTTCATTTCCTTACTGAGACACTTTGGTCACATCTAAGAGTTTTGGCTTCAGCTACGGAAGTGATGTATTTTTGTCGTGTTGGCTTTAGATGACAGAAAGATGGACCAACTCATTCAAGAAACCGAGAGGAACCGGGAAATGTTCAATCAGATTGCTCACAGGACCTTCACAACGCATGCGCCTGACCAAGGAATGCTACCTACTGGTCCAAAGGTCAGCCGAAAGTACACTTTTTACTTCGAAGAAAATCTTTATTATTTTTTACTATTTTTGAGCTTGTTTCAGGGTTTTCCTAAACTCAGCCATCCATGATGGCGTCTTTTAGGATGGCATCATTACTACGTCATAAGACCTCACAACTTCGTAAAACAAATATCAAAGAAAATGTTCGTGGACGTGGTATAAATTGTCCAAGTTTCATTTTCATAGCCTTAATACTCAATGAGTTACAGGGGGAATGTCTTAGAAGTCCCCATCACTCCCAGAGGACCAAACTAAACCTTCTATGGACAGAGGCAAGTGGGACAACTCTTTCTTTTCTTTAGGCGTGGCAGAGTCAAGGCATAAGAATAGAGGGCTCTCTCCTGGTTTGTGAAGGAGGAAACTTCTGCGACACCTGCCAGGGTGAATCGGACGAATGCCATGGCGCAAGATATCTCGTTCCCTTCTCTCCAGAATTTCCCCATCTTGAGGTGCGTATGAGTGAAACCTTTTGAACAATGCATTATAACCCAGGTGGCTAGTCTATCACATCTTGCTTACTAGTACGGTGGAACCCCCTGAATCCGGTCACCTACGGGCCACCCCGTGTTAACGGGGTGGCTGTATTAAGGGTTCTGTATTAGGGGTTCTTTAAATAAGAAAGTGACTGACTGACCTCATGTTCGGACCAGAATATAGTAGGTGGCCGTAATGACGAGGTGGTCATATGAACGGTTGGCCGTAAGGCTGGGTTCCACTGTATTTGTAAGATTAAACCAGTCTCAATAAGACCCAACTGATGCAGTTAAAACTTCATTTTCGATAGCAGATCTTCCACATGACGTTCTAGCAAGATTTGAAATACTTTAGCCAATTTCACTATTTCATCTGTCTAATGTGTCATGAAGGGAAATTGAATCAAAGTCGGGGTCGGTAAAATAAACTACCTCGTCCCAGTCGCCCGCGCGATAGTCAAAAATATCTTAATTCCCGCTTGCGCTAAGAAAACAATAAGAAACGCCTGTGGAGGAGGCACTAAAATAGACATAAGTCATGATAATCATTATCGTCATCAACATCATCAGCATAAACACCCTAGGAAAACAACAACAACACCTATGGCATCAAGGACGTTTAGTATACATGATCATCTTTATATCTACTTTGTCTTTTGATAGCGTGACATAAATTTTATTCTTTCGTCCACTCTTAAAGGTTCTTATTCAGGAAATAGGAAAGCAAAGGTGTCTTGGAGTGGGAGTGGTTTGGAAGGATTACGGAAACCACGCCATGCCGGGACAGTTAAAAAGAACGGTGGGGTGTCTTGTCGATGAAGGCAAAATATTGGGACCATTTAAGCCTGTTAACCTTGCCGGGAAGGAAGATGAAGGTAAACAGGAGGAAATAAGTGCTATGGCGAACTATACGTAAACATACACACTGTCATAAAAACATATTCAAATAAAAAATATTTTTCGTTCAACCGAGCTAAGGGTTGTAAGTCCACAAATACCATTTTAACATTTTAAGAGAACTTGCAGAACGAAAATAGGAATGTCCTCACTCCGTTATCGTGTTTTGGTTTTTGTTAAACATACCCATCAAAATGGTAACATCGATTCTTTAAATTCTAATTTGGTCTCGTAATTGAGAACGCTCTATATCTCCCATAACTATTGTGACGGATTTTGACTGTCGATCTTTTCCTTTTGTACAGGCGCCATGGCTTACAGAGGAGATCTGATCGGCTGCACAGTCATGTTTAATGAGTTGGAAGATGGCAAAGTGCCTATCCAGTTCACTTTAAACGGCAAACAGATCACTCAGGATAGGATTTTAATCGAGCATAATCCGGCCGAAAAATCGCTATACCCATTCATAGGCATGGGACACACAGGAATAAGAGTGCTGGCCAAGGTTAGTACATGACGGCTTAAAGGACTGATCTGACCGATCAAAAAGTCTGATGACTATTCGCCCATGGAAAACTCGGGCTCGTAGTCTAATTTTTATATAGTGTCAGAAGCATATCACCTTGTGTGCTTCTGATAGTGTACGATAGCTCAGCCAACCATATTTTTGCAGGATTTGTATTAGTATGCCCGTGAAGTTGATAGAAACAGGGAAATGTTCTCTGTTTCTTATACAGAGATCGAGAGCGCGTAATCTAATTGTTAAATAGAAACACGAGTGGAAGTTTGGGAGAACGAGAAATGCTGTTGGGATACGAGCTCCAAGGTTTTTTAGAGTTCTTCCAAACGTTCACGAGTGTTTCTTTTTTCTGTTTCTTTTGGAAAATACCGCAAGGAAAGGAAAAGAAATCACTCGCAACATCATAATGCATGTCAACAACTCTTGCTGCTTCTGCGTTTTTATCGAATTATAGAGGTGCGACTTTAAGCCATATAGGCCAGTACATGTAGCATACCATTGCCTTTTTGTATGGCTAGCAATTGACACGTTCTGTTTGTGCATGTTTATAGTTGTGTCCATCCCGGAACGATGATGCCCATCTGATTGGGACGATTAAAGCCACAACAGACAGCATGACAGAAAAGATGACTTCAAACTGGAAAAGGGTTGACGAAGTTGTAGAGCGAATAAAAGGAGAGCTCGACAATGCAGACACAGAGTTCGAAAAACTTAATCATTTAGTCTTGGAGGAGCTGCGACACTTTGAAAATTTAATTAATGACCCCGATCAACTGGGACGCGATGAAGCGGTAGATGTTATCGTGGAAGAGATTCCAGATGAATATGAGGGCAGCTGCCTAGAACGAGAGTTTGATAAATTTTATGGATGGGATGAACCGGTGCTTGAGCCCATCAGAGAGAAAGAAATAAGCCATCTGAACGAAAAAGATGGACCAGGTTTGGAAGACCAACAGCCGCAAACTTCACTTTTAAAAAGGGCACAGGAGAACCTGGAAGAGCTGACGCAAACAGCAGAAAGGAAATTCACATCGGTCTTGGAGTCTTTGAAAGCAGCCGAGAACGAAGCGAAAGACCGTATGCGATACCAAAAGGAAAAAAGAGACAGGGTGGAAACTAATTTACGTAACATTCAAGAATCCTTGAAAGATTTCCTTAAAGCTCGACTATCACATTCAGGTGCTCAGTCATCGAGGCCAAATTATATATGCGAGCCTCAAATTCAGATGCAGGTAAACTGAGGAGCAACTGAGCTCGATAGTAGATCACTTTATTTATACACGGTAAATTCCACTCATTTGTATACAAGCAGAAATATCTACAAAGGTAAAAATCAAAACAATATAATCATTATAAAAGTAATAACAAAGAATAAAAGCCTAATCTAAACAAACTGAGCTAACTACCTATTTCAATGGAAATAAATGAAGACAAAAGTACCGCTTTTCAGGGACGCCGTGTCGTTAATTCATTCAAAACTGATGTTACTTAGCTTCGTCTTAAATTCACCTAAGGTTTTAGATGCTCTAATATCAGTTTGAAGGTTATTCCACAACGGGGCACCGCTGTAAGAGAAGCTTTTAGGAACATAATAGGTGCGAGGTTGAGGAAGAGCCAGCCTCATTTCACTATTTCTTAATCTATAACTAGTTGTATCATTACGAAAAATAAATTTATTTGATAAATAATCAGGTGTCTGTCCATTTAAAGTTTTGAACATCATAATGGCTCTGGTAAAAAGCTTCTGATTCCTTAGGTTTTTCCAAGCAAGTCTACAGAACAGGTCTGTAGCACTAGAATAATAAGGGGCGGACAGCAATATACGAGCCGCACGGTTTTGCAGCTTCTGAAGTTTTTCGGCGAGACCTATACTGCAGCATCCTCATACTAAGCTACAGTAGTCAAATTGGGGCTTTATCAAACCATTAAAGATGTTCAAAAGAGTGTAGAATGGTGCAAAATTTCTAATGCGCTTAATTAAGCCTAAAGCTGAAGAAATTTTCTTACAAACACTTACATTGCTTAATCACGTTTACGCTTACATTGCTTAATCGCGCTAATCATATGTAGCATGCGACCCTTTGTAGAAGGGGTTTATTAACGTGTCGTAGGTACTTCAGTATTCTTAATAAACCGCATAAGTTTTAAAAATCGAAAGTAACATATACTGTGAGGTTGCGCAAATTAAACCGTAAGGATCCTGGGATAAATGAGCCGACAATTTTAAGTAGCGCAACCCATTAAAAGATTATCACAGGAACGCCGAGATGTACATGACAACAAGAACTTGACAAATCAAGTTGTCCTCAATAGATGTAAGGTCATCCCCATAAAATGTTTGGAAGTTGTTTTTTTGTTTTGTTTTTTCTTCCTTTTCTGATAAAGAAAAACGAAAAACTGTTTTCTATTCATTGCCTGGTCCCACCCTTTACAGGAAAGATTTAATTAAGGCCCGCCAGGCATTTATACATGTGCAATTCGTTACTCAATATTTCCGTTTTTTGTCCGCTTTTATTTAATTTATTTGTAACCGACCGACAAAGACCAAGAGTGAGGGTGATGCAAAAAGGAAACATTTTTTTAGCGTAGTGTAAAGCATTGTTCAAAAAGTATGAAAATGTGTGATGTTAATAGATGAAATACCAGTATCGTCAAAGTGGTTTGCCATTATTAAAGCTCGAATTCCGGCCTTCTCATTTGGTTTGTTTCGTTTTCCTAAGAGGAATAGCATGGTACGTAGACATTTGTGTGAATTGCTGTCGACCCTGCCTTTGATAAACAGGTTGGGTACAGGCAAGGACACTTCCCTGTAGGATTTTCTGATTGTCTATTTGGATCTATTTGCGTAGGCCATGATCAATGTCCTCTTTGCCAAGTCACAATGCAGGTATACTATTTATCCAATGTTATTACTCTCTGCCACTGCAGTGGAGAGGTTGGCCGGAAATGTTTAGAGAATTTGAAGTGGGGGAAGGGGGCGAGCGATAGGAAGAGAGGTATGAGTTACTGATTTCAGCGGCAAATCAGGGTTGTCCAATATCGCATATATGTAACATATCAATCATCCGAGGGTGGACAACACGTCAGGATAATAAAGTCAGTTGATACATAAATGGTTATCGAATAGATGTTTCTGCTATTCTGAAAACTCTTTCTAAATTTGATCTATGTCAATTTGATGGGTTTCCTTTAGTTGTTTATACGTCAAATTCCGAAAATAACCCCACAGTCCCCGTTCCAGGAAATCCCCAAATCCCAAAATTTCTTCCAATAACAAGCCCTAATCTGCCAATTAAATAATTCGTTCAAAAATTAATTCCAAGAGAATTAAGAAACATTTATATACGCCCTTTGGTGTGTAAGATTGATAATTGTGCAATTAACCAACGCGAACAGGAGAAGAGCAAACTAGAATTTTTGACTTTTGTCAATATAAAGTGCAAAGATTAAAACTCTTCCATTTCCTGTATCGACGCCTGGTCTTCTTCTTCACTTTTACCACGAGTTCAAATCAAGCCCCTACGCCCTTTTTCCTCCTCGATTTTACTGCAAGTTATCTATGACGCTCATGCTACCCGCGCCCAATAAAACTACAATAAACACACAACACTTCAAACATTGGGGCGCTTTTGATTCCCATTCAACCAAAAATTGCAAAAATTTTGAATCGGAGAAAAATGGCAGGGATATTTAGTGAGAAAGTTTCCAGCAAATCCGAAATTTGTTAAATGTCAGAAAAGCGACCCATCCAACAAAAATTTCCGGAAATTTCGGGAATTTGCGGTGAAAAACTTCCGAAAATTTCGGTAAACCTCGCAAACTTGTCCTCTTATCCAGAAATTTCGGGAGATGTTGTTTCATTCTTCACTGGAAAATTCCACACATTCAAACTGGAATTTTTCATCAAATAAAAATTGCCCTTTAAGGAGCTCAGTCACATACAAAATTGCCTTTTTACAGATAGAAGAGCACCAAAGAGATAAAAATAAACCATGAAGAAACAGGAGGATGGAGAAGATTAAACGGCGAACTTGAAACATTTATAATTAGACTAAACTTTTCAAGATATGCAAACTCTGACGTAGCTCTTTTAATTTAAGAACTACTTTATTTACGATGTGAATTAAAGAACAAAATGTAAGTATTACAAGTTTTATATTTATTTATCTATTAAGCAAGGAGACATTACGCGGATTACTACGTCTAACATAACAAATTGAATACTTGCTTCTTGATCTTGTGCTCCTACTACCCGTATGGTAAAGTTACTAAAAGATCCCAAGGCCCTAACACCTGTTACAGTAAAAACCCGCGTGTAAGAACCTACTTTTTTCAGAGTTTGGCAAAACAGGTTCTTGTATTACTGGGTACTTATTGACAGTTTAGGCTAAGTAGGTTCTTAATTAGGTTCTTAATTTCTACAGAGTAGACATTGTTGTTGATTATCAGAAAATAGTATAAAATCTGGTCTGTTCTTCATTATAAATATTTAACAAATCTAACATACATTGTGCATTTTGAGTTTCATTTAACAATTCAATTTTCTAAACTCTCGATCACATTTTTGGTTTTTGGTAAAAAAATATATAAATCAAATAGTTAAACCCCACATATAAGAACCTGTTGGAATTTGTTTGGCTAAACAGGTTCTTATAGTTTGGGGTATTAGAAAAGCAAATTTCTGCCTGAAGGTTCTTAAATCCCTAGGTTCTTACACGCGGGTTTTTACTGTATTCTATAAGATACATATACAGTTTGTAAAAAAACCTACGTAGACCGCCAAAACTAGGGTCCAAAGACCAAGTTTTGATTAAGTAAAAACAGAAGCATATCACCTGGTAAAAAAAATACAATATTTCAATTCTGTTTCCGTCATAGCCACTCTAACCATATAATTAAAATTGCACCATTTCAGTACAAATGCCTGAACACAGTCTGTTCTGGTCTAGTGGCATGTTCACGAGGCCGAAATCTAAGGAACGCTTTTTTTTTTTTCTAAAGAATGCCAGAAGCAACCAGGACAAGCTTAACTTTAGATGTGACCTTAGCTATGGAGTAAATCTTGCCTTAATTTCTATTCTATTCTTCTTCATGGTACCATTCAGACTATTGATACCCTGGGTATTGTTACGATATATATTTTCGTATCGTTCTCTACAGTGGTTATTTATAGCGAGTGTACCTGAAAAAAATAGCATATCATTGTCGAATAATTTAGTCGGAGCAGCCATTGCTGCTAGTATATACAAAGTTCAGACTGCTGGGTGATCAGAAAACACCACTAGCTACCCACGTGACCGCCATAAGGTCATGCAATTTTATAAGAGTCACTTATCGATCAGTTAAATCTCTGACCCAGACAATTGACAGAGCCGGATACAGTATCAATCCTCTGGTCATGCTAAGAACAAATGCGAATTATGCGAAGCGCTTTTGCAAGCGGGAGCAACGTAAAAAGTAACTTATACGAGTATACCACTCCCCATTGTGCCTTTTTTAAATGTTTTCGTTTTGCACTTGGCTGTCATTCGGGGATTGCTTAATGTCCAATGAAAGTGCATAGCGATCCTCTGTTTCCACTTGGGTGCATATGGTTCCTTCGTCATTTCCTGAATGAACAAAAACCCACCAAATTTTTAAGAAGGAAATAGAACAAGGATTACTTTTGTTTTTGAACAACCTTGAATTTTTAAACTGACTAATGAGTAGGACTGTCTAGGAAAAGTAAAAAGCAAACAACGATTTTCCGATCCCTTCGCTGAAGCCTCATTCACATTTTTGAGAATGAAAACAAATGAATACATTCTGACGGAGGAAAGGGAGACGCAAAAACATATAATTATGATCTGATCGCTGTGGCAACACTATTCTGAGCAAGTCTTGAGTTTCGATGTTGTTGGTAAAATAATGCAGAAACCAGAGCTAACTAAGACCTCATATAGAAACGCTACAATCAGTAAGTTTATCTCTTAGAGCGGAAAATGCGATGACATTAAAAACTACTCTTACCAGAGATGTGGTGACTTGCAGATCTTATTTTGCAACTATAAAGACATGTACACCGGTGGAAAGTGTGATAAAACCAGCCTTTAAGGACGCTTCTCACCTTACAATTAATAGAAAAAGAAGATGTTTCGAGTTACTTTTTTAAGGTACCAGAGCTGTAATGAGTTAAATAGCCAGCAAATTGCATGGCTGATATGATAAAGTGTAAAACTCTCTATATAGCAACAGATATGAGTGAATCACTGAATAAACAGCAGAAGTTAGCGTTTTACATACCTATATATCATGATCAGTTAGTAAGCAAAGTGAAAACATCCAAACACTTAAACGTCCATCGTCTTACCTTGGGCGTGGAAAATGTGTAGAGCACAGGATTGACCGAAGAATTAACCGGCAGAACAAACACTGCAAACCAGACGTAAACAAATCCCTCTTCGTCATGAAACTTGCCGGTCAGAGCAAGGATACTGAGAATTATTACAGGAACCCAGCAACTGAAGTCCGTCAAGATGATGGCGAACACTCTCCTTGCCAGAGCGGACTCTCTTTTGATGCTATTGGAACTCACGTTAGATTCACCATGGGCTTTAACTCGTCGCTGTGATTTTGAGACTTTGACAATAATGGCGATGTAAGCTGTCATGATGAAAAGAAATGCTGCGAGATTCAAAGCGATAAACACACCCACTGAATACTCCCAGCCTGCCAGTCTTTCAGGAGACAACTGAAGAGGAAGACAAACTGACGAACGACCTTGGAAAGCAAAAATATCGCATTTTTCAGTGCTAAGTGGTAACGTTTAAAGCAAAATGACAGTTGTAACTTAAGTCCAAGTATAATAAGTCTGATCAGACAATGAACAATTGAATGACTGATGTAAAGGAACTTAGAACCTGATTAACAAGTGTACTTCTTATATTTGTTTCTTTTTGTTTTGATTCTTTTGCTATTGTTATTATTGTAGTTGTTTTGTTAAAACCAGAAAAAGTTTTCGTTGTCCTACTCTCGTTTTCTAAAGATACAAGACTATATGAAATAAAATCATTGATATAACTGGAGAACTGACTGTTCCATTTGTACCTGAGCCAGTTGTGTATGTCTTCTAAAGATGTTCTTCCGGCAAGTATAGGTAATCGTATGAATGCGAGTGATATCTGAAAATTATCTCAAAATTGCATGAGTCTTTGGGCGAGTGTAATTTCGAATAATTTTCAACTATCACGAGTAGTGTAAATCCTTAATTGCTCGAGCTTTCAAACGTTGCTCATTTATTATATGACTGAAAAAACTGCGAACGCGAGTGCGCTAATTTGCCTTGTAGTACAAATTAAAAATTAACGGTAAATTGCCCCGCTCTCAGCCAATCACAAAGAAGTTATTTTCTCAGTCATATAATAAAGTTATTTAGCTATCGATCACACGCAAAAAAGGAATTATTTATGTATTATGGAGAGGTAGTCATTTAAATTAATCTAAAGGTATACCATAAAAGCCATATCTTCTGTCCTCGTTATAAAAATAAGGGGTGTCAAACGTTGGTACAGTGGCGATGATTGCTCCAGAGACCCAAACAATCGTGCAAATGACGTAAGTGCCTCTTAAAGTCAAACGGGAGCAGGTAAAGGCGAAGACGATACTTATCAAACGGTCAGCGGTTATCACCGTCAGCATCAGTACCGAGACCTCACTCGACAGCACTGACAAAGCACCAGCCACTTTACAGAGAGCTCCCGAACGCCATATTAGATCAAAGCTGAAGTAGGAACCTAAATTAAAGGATTTTCATAAGGATTATAATTTAGTTTTCATTCATGAAGCTATTAGCAGACAACTAAGCTTTAACCCCTCCCTCAAGCTTGTTTCGAATATACAGTTGGTACATTTATTCAAACCCAGATCTGGACTCTGCACACACTGAAACTGACTAAACTGTATGAACTGGCTTAAAATGTGTTTTTGTTTTTGTTTGATTTATGTTTCCGCAACGACTGCACCAGGGCAAGCCATAACAAACAGGTTATTTATGTGCGCTAGGTTTTGTGGGAAAAGAACTATAAAACAATCCCTTTCACCCTAAGTAGCAATTTACCAGTTGCTCACTTGTCAGGAAACCGAGTTAAGCGCCGACTCTGGAAGAGTAAAATCTTTGTTGCGTAAAAAGATTTTTAAAATAATGACTGCTTGGAAAAGTGTCAAAATTGAATGCGGTTTTTATGACAGCGTACCTTACCTTATCGTGTCTATACACTCCACTTATACTAAATACCAGAAGTCTCCTCGATTCGCTTGTAATCTAGCTCCTAGCTCTTCTCTAAATTCTGAAAATCCGATTACTCAATTGGCTAGATTTCTCCAGTTTCTAACAACCGCACTTTCACTTTTTTTCCGACTACCTTTCTTTCAGGGAGAACCTGCAAAGCATATGGCATAAACCTAAATCGCTTTCCGGCCTACGTCAGCAAACTAACCTGATTGGTTTAAACTCGTCGGATAACGGCCAGTGAATCAGCTGTGATTTTCTGTATGGCCGAGTATATTAATAATAATAGATATTAAGAGTGAAAGTTACTGGGTCAATGAAATATTACCTGCCCACTGCAGATCTTTAATGGCGATGATCATGAGATAAACTCCCATGAGGAAGTCAGACACAGCGAGATTTGTCAGAAGACAGGTTTGAACCGGGTGATCATCACGTCTAATCAGGCGCCATGCTATGACTGCCAGGTTACCAAGCACAGCCAGGATACCGAGCAACCAAATGCTCTGTCTGGGGCTTGAGGCCTCGATCATACGATTACAGCTTGACAAGGCACCTCCCTCCGTCTTTGGGTAGTCGCATTGTACATGTTCAATATACAGTGTGGCATAACAACACAAGGAGAAGCTGTCCAATTTTCTTTGATGAAAGTAAAATTAATATAATACAGTTTGTAATCTTCTTTTCTTATAGGAATTTATTGTACCTGATGAATTTTTTACCGTGTATAAATAATGATTAAAGATAAAAGATTAATAGAAAGAAAGATTAAAGAAGGAAGAAGATCTCACAGTGTTTGACCACCTTCCCAAACACCTCTAAGCTCGTCAAAAATGCTCTGCTTCGCATCGTATTTTCCACTCTCTTCTCGGCGTTTGTAAACGTGGTCAAACACAGTTGTTCGTGTTTGATATATTCATCTGCAGCATTCTACTAGGGTCCGAGACACACGAAACATGATGAATATTAACAGCATATATACTTACAAGATTCTAAGGCCTGGAAGATGTTCGAAAGTCCTTAGGGGAATCTCTTTAAGTAAATTGTCCTGTAGATATCTAAAACATTGTCGATTGTAATGGCTAGATAAGGAGTTCATATCAAACTACCAGTTAACAACTGTGTAACATGTGTTTAACCTAGGTCATTAAAAGGTGTGTGGTTTTTTAATTTGTTTGGTTTTGTTTTTGTTTGTTGTTGTTTTTTTTTTTTTCCATACTGGCACGGGCCATTTTAAAAGAGACCTGTTCCAGAGTTCAATTACCTTTTTTTCCGTTCGGCTGTAAATATTTTTGCAGGAACACTTTTGAGATTGTTCATGTAGATTATTGCTAAGAGCTTTGCAAAGCTGTTCGATATGCGTATAAACCTGTACATTATATATTTCATAAGACTCATCTGAACTTTTTTCTTTTTTTTTTTCTTTTTGCACAAAGTCTTTGCTGCAGACAATATTACAAATTATGATCGATCCATCAAATATTTTCGCTCGCGCTCGACTGGTTCAAATGCGTCACGTGACTGGATATTCCCCAGCTAAAACTGGGAAATACCTGATTGATATTCCCCAATTTTCAAAACTGCGCTTGTTACGAAAAACATTTGAAGGATAATGAACACAATAGCCTTCATTTGGCGCCAAAATATGCTCGGATATTCGTCCTTGGACATTACGCTCTCGGAAAACTGTTCGCTTCTCGGAACAGATAATGTCCGCGGACAAATATCCCAGCATATTTCGGCGCAAAATGGAGGCTATTGTTTGTATATTATTATGATTGCAATACACAAATTGTCTGCCCTAATTGCCGCTTCAAGTACCCAAGCGTGCTCATGCTAATCGCTTCTTTATTTTTTCTTCATTCTTTTGTGGGTTGGGTCCGGATGTACGTTTTAACTTGGAAGGGGAAAGGTAATTGGGCCTCTTAGGGTACTTACGCCCTTTTGTCTTACAACGTGCTTCTTGGCAAATTTGTAAATCAATTAACACTTTTGCCATCTGATGTCTGTTGCAAGCTGTTATACTAAGGCATTGCCTGGCCTGTTATGGGTCCTTCGATTATTTTTCTCTATGTTCGTTAAACTTCGTAGGGTGTTATACTTACAGGTATTTAAGGTTGTCAAGCGCAAAGAAAGCATTTTAATGTGTGGTAGTAATCTTGTTGTTTTTCAGATCTCTGGTGATGAATCAAGATATGTAATTTCAAAACCAAGAAAAGCAAATTAATTTTGGAAGCAGATGGGATAGTGAACAGAGGCTATGGTATGGAAATATGTAATCTAAGCAAGACACCAAGAAATAACTTACAGTGTTTTTAACCTTTTCAAGCCAAAGAAAATAAACCCAGGTAACTCAGAGATTTCGTTCTGAGAGAGGTCTCTATGAGCAAGGATAAGTAAAAAAAATATTAACGTTCATTATCAAAGGTAAAAATAAGTTATTTTACAGCTATATGTATGTGGTGGACCGGGGTGATAGAATTGATAAGAAGGTACATTGCAGTTTGTTTAAATAGACTTTATCACTGTTTTGGAAGCCATCTTCACGGGTAGTCAGCCCCCATCAGAAATAAATCACACTAAAGTGTTTGTATGCTCTTGTATGGGAATCTGACGGCAAATAATTTTCCGCGTACTTGCACGAGGTTGATAAGCTCGCGACCGGACTGGACGTTTTCTCGCGTACTCAAATTTTAAGAAAATTAGTTGCCATTTGATTTCCATACAAACGCTGCAATTTGTTGCCTACACAAGCTGTTGCCTGATTACCCATGCAAGTTGCTCTGAAAACGGTGAAAAGTTCTATACTAAGGGCCCTGCATGTTATTGCTATGCCAAACACTCGTTTCAAGTAGAGTAGCAGAATTATAAGAAAGACTGGCTCTTCCAACAAAACGAATTTGTAAGAATTTTGTTATCCTCTTAGAATATCGATCTATCGAAGCGATTTCCTATTTTGTAAGGTCACCGGCCCTATAGTTTATACGAAAATATATTTCTCCGAACTAGCCACTAATATAATTCGGTAATGCCGTCTCAAATTCGTATTTAGTTTATAAAACCAGTAGAAAAGGCAATTTGTGAAAAGGAAATGTTTTGACTGAAAAATGAGTTATACGTGTATTGTAATTAACTTACAAAGTCAACTTACAGAGTTTCCAAGTTTTTCAAGTTGTGGAATATGTTCCCAGGCAGCTGAGTGATTTTGTTCCGAGAGAGGTCACTTAAAACAACCATAATATGTATCAGTATTAATTGTTAGTTGAAATTCGCTCATTGTCGTGTTAAGCAAATGTACACTTCTTTCCTCCCACCCTCTGCCCTTCAGTGCGATATATGATCTTAAGGGTATAAAGCTTAAAACAGTGTAATTCCTTACGATTGCAAAGATTAATTTGAACGATAGTAAAACTATGTGAATCTTCTCTTTCAATCAAGCACTGTAAACCATCATTACCCATAACAACTTTCGACATTGCGTGCCGTTTACGCCATTACGCCATTGTTGGAAGAGCTATATTAATCCGACCACAAGTTTAGAATTAAAGCCTTGAAATGATTCTCGTCTCTCATTATTGAGAAAGTATACGGCTCGAATTTTGGTCCGCGGACGTTAGCCCGTTCTGAGAGGCGAATTAAAAATAAAACTAGAGAACTCGCTCTCAGACAACTGTTCGCTTCTCGGAACAGATTATGTCCGCGGACAAATATCCGAGCGTGTTTTCGGGCCAAACGGAGGCTATTGCCTATATATTCGTGGATCAATAATTAAGAAATAGAAAACATGCATATGTACCGTCATTCTATCGAGTTATAGAAACACGAGAGGAAGTTTGGGAGAACGAGAAATGCTGTGGGAGCATAGTGTTCGATGGCTCAGCCAATCAGATTACAGCATTTGCATTAGTATCATACTAAAAGAATTCTACTAAAACTTGATAGAAACACGGAGAACATTTCTTGTATTTCTTTTAGAAAACACCGTGACGAGAAAAAGGAAAACAATTTGTTAACCTTGATTATCAAAATGTAAGTTTTCTTTTCTCGCGCCATCATTACGTCGACAGCTCGTGCTAGTTCTGTGTTTCTATCGAGTTTTAGTATAAATCTAGGAGCGTTCTATCACGAATGCCGTTCTCTGATTGGCTACGTTACTCTCTCTCTATTCTGTAATAGATAGTGAGTAGCGTAGCAGTGTGTCCTTGTTAACAAAATGACGGCCGCTTCTTGGCGTTTTCGAAGTGTCTGCGACGAGGATATAGATTAAGTTTTGAACAAATAGTAGATTATACTAAAACAATTAAATTATTCGCTCTCGATTTCTATCAAGCGATAGAAATCTCGAGCTCATAATCTAATTGTTCAATAGAAACAAGATTTTTAACCAATCAGTGCGAGAATTTTTTTAGGACTTTCTAATGAGAGATAAGAATCAATTCAGGGATTTAATTGAGCGTTTTCACATGACTTCACGGCAGCCATATTGGTATTTCAAAACAATGAAACGGCGGCCAGGTTGGTGTACAAAGCCAATCCTGTGGAAGTCGAACTCTTTTCTTGTGTAAACACTTTCTTTTGTTCCAATAAATTAGCATGGCTGCAGGCCACATGAGGGAAAACGCTCTATTCTAAAACTGCAGTTGGATTAATGAAGTTGTTTCAAGATTAGACAGGCGTAAAACGTGTACACGGAGATATCATTTCCCCCAATATTTTAATAACAGAATCTCTAATTTTGTTGAAGTCGTTACTATGATTTACCTCTTTTCTGATTACATTTAAACAGCTTGTAAAACTCAGCAATTAGTGACAATCTTACCTCTTTGGTTGTAATATTTAATAGAACATTGGTTCTCACAACCATTTTTTTTTTTTTTTTCGAGTTTAAGTTTAAGATTTGGTAAAGTGTTAATCCATTAATTGTATCTTTATCAAATATATGAGCATATTTCTCGCAAATGGAGGCAACTGTTTATATTCGTCACGGGATGAAAGTAGTATGTTAAAATTGAAGACGTTCGTCTTTTCTGCCTAATAGAAATTCAAAAACCAATTAATTTATTATCGACTTCGAAACTTTTAATCACAATTTGCACATATTTTAACAAGTTTATCAAATACTGGAAAAGAATAGGGCCTGTTTTATATCATTTTACGTTTTTGTAAAATTCTCTCCAGGTATCGGATAAGAGAATCTCTAATTTGCTGAAGTTGTTGTTTACTTCTTGTCTGTTAACATTTAAACAGCTTGTAAGACTCAGTAGTTATTTAAATTTTTAGCTCTTTAATTTGGTTGTAATATTTAATAAAACATTGGCTCTGAAACCCAAAAATTCTAGTTGCTTTTAATGTACTTAAAAATTGAGTTCGAGATTTTGGTGAAATCTTATTCACATTCATGCTCTGAGTTCTTAGGTGAAGCTCAACGCTTCTGTCTATCGGTGACTCGCTTTCTGAATGGCATTTTGGAAACAAAGCGGAAAATACGTCTTTCAAGGCTGCCCGATAGTTTGAACTGAATGCAATCAGAATGAGCGGATTAACCACTGTACTAAGCAACAGAAAGATGTAATAAAATAAACCTACAAATACTGCACACCTATCTTTGATAAATATCGATGGATAAAGTATTTCTAGAAACAAGTAAACATAGAGAGGTGTCCAGCAGGTGAAAAATCCCAGTGAAACCGATCCAAAGATCTTCATAATGTTTTGGTTCTGTCTAACTCTTGTTGCTTGTAGAGTGCCTCTGTTGCCTTTGTCGAACTTTTCTCGTCTCCTTTAATGTTTCATAATGAGAGGATAGAGCACTAGTGTTAAAATCAGGGGTGTACAGTAGAACAAAATAAAACTTAGGAAATGGTAGATTTTCAACGCCAAGTCACTCATTGTGTTTCTACAAAATGTGTTCTGCTCTATCTTTATGACTTCGGAATGGACGAAGAACGGGACAACGCTTAGCAAAGGAAGAAACCAGCTTAGAAAAAGAAACATTTTCCTAGTCCTTGCAGTAAGGTTCAAAGTTCTTAGTGGAAATACGATTGCGACAAATCTGTCCACGAGGATGAGCACTAAGCTTAGAATTGACACCACATACGAAACTGCTCGTGAATAAATTCCCAGCTTGCAAAACAACGTAGCAAGTGTTGGGTCCGCAAAAAGACTTCCACAAGCTTTTAACATGCCTTCCGTGGCGTAGAGTGGCCAGTTGAGCGAAACACAGATCAGGTCTGAGACTGCCATATTCACAATGTAGTAATTAGAACTTATCTTCAAGTTTGGAGTTTTGATGAAAGTTGTAATCACAAGAAGGTTCCCTGTGATTGCTAAAAAGCTGACCACTGATAGAGCGACCGTGAATGCCGTAGAGACGCCAGACGCCGAACACTTTGCTTGATTCATGCTGTCACCCACAGAAGAGTTATTCATCTTTTCAAACAACGCCTTCGTTTCTTCCTGACTTGTTGTTTCTTCCTATATAATTTCCGCCCTCAAGAGCCCTCATGGGCCCGATGAGGATGAACGAGTGAGTGATATAATTTCAGACGAGAAACGTTTAGACTACACTAAAAAGTCGCGGAAATAATTTGCATTAAGCTGATGAGAAACGTTTTCTATTAACTCTCCGCAGTGCACTTGAATTGGACGTCGCCTGTCAATCAGCACCCGCAGGAGAACTTACACTTATGCAGGTGACAGTTTATTGTTAACTTTTATCATTTTGCTAATTTTAAAAATACTGAGTAACAGTTCAGTGGAACTGCGAAATGAAAATTATCACATATGAATTTAAAGGAGCTTTGTTACACAAATAATGCATGTTAACAGCGCAACAACCGGAAAAAGACGCTTTGCATTCAGAGTAAATATGATTCATTATTAACCACCGCAAGCACCAAAGAACTATTTTTATTGGAAACTTAAAATTAAAAAATTGTACTTCGCGTTTCTTAGTTTAGCTTATACTTGTCCTTGCAAAACTGAGAAAAGGCAATAAAGTACAGCAAGAACACCACAGTATTTTGGCGATAACCAGTTGCTTCTCGGACAACCTCATGGTAATATGTTTGTATTCTGCCTGTCTTTTTTAGACAGTGGTGTTATCAGTTATAACCACGATTAGGATTAAACCGATCGTATCTGAATGGTCCTAGGATTCAACTGATTAGACCATTTTATGTTATGAAGCACTGATGGGTTAAGATAAAAGATATTAAGTGGACGCTAATACTGATTGTGGATTAAAAGAAATAATGATATATTTTACTCAATTTCTCTGCAAAGACAGGCATTGTGTTCCCCCTCTCCCCTCCCCCCTGCCCTTACAATCAAAGTATGAATATACAAGCGAAAAAGAACTACGCAACTAAACGAAATGCCTAACACCACTGCTTCGAAATAAATACACATATTATATACCAAAAACATATTAAAACACAGACAAACTGCAGCACGTTTCCTCGACGCAGGTGTTACCGATGAGGTTAAAAATCTATCAGCAAAAAAAATCGATTATGCAAAAATAAAAAAGACATTATGGGCTCGGCTTTGAACTGACTTATCGACTTATCAACCAGAATCGCGTACTAATGATTATATCACTTTGTTATTGAAATGTTTGCTGTATTTGGTTGAAATAAACATACTGTATGCCAAAAGACACTAAAGGTAGGAATTGAAAAAAAGTGAGCCGTGAATATATTTTATCGTCATCAATGGATTCCTCTTTTCTCCTATATTCTAATAAATACTCACGGAATGAAGTCTTACACTCGTTTGCCGGTGAGTAGTATATATTACGGAACTGTATAGATAAATCTTTCGCCTGTCCTCATTTGGAATTGCGAGAGGAAAGAGATCACACATGAATTGTAAGAAAACTTCAAGAAAGATAATCCCAATAACAAACATCAAACGTTTTGGTTTGCAATCAAACTAAATGTGTATGTTATTGAACCAGCGTGACGTCTTTATGGTGGAAAAATTATTTTGAGTGCGAAATCGATCGAAATACTCGATCACACTAGAGAAGGAAGGCAAACTGTGCATTTCGGTAAATGGTTTCTTGAGGTTAATGTATGTGTTAATAAAGAAAGGAAAAACATTGAAAAACTACATAGTCGGAAAAGAAAATTACTGCTATACCCATGGGAATCAAACTGGTATACTGCCGCATGTGCAGCGGACGATTACTCCTCCGCACCACATCCACAACACTCAAACGCTGGGTAATTAGAACAGCAGGCTCAAGTGAGTTAGCAAAGTCGTGCGAAAGTCGTACGAGTTGATGGCTGGTTCCAGCATATCCTAAGTCTTTGTTGAGCTTTTCAAGTGGAGGTGACACGAATTACTCACCAAGTGAATTGTTTGAAGGTAATGTTTCTCATTCTATGATTTGTTAGGACACACGGCAGTTTCGAGAGCTAGAAAGTAGATGAAGAGCATTGTACGAATTTTCTGGAGGTGGTCCCCATGGGCTATGGATTAATATGAAAGTCAGTTGTTCGCCTTCCCATTCTCCAATTACGCAAGTTAAGTTCAGTGGCTCAAAGCCACTTTCATTTTGGAAGCGGCTGATAAATTAATGCTTACCCACGATCCATTCTCAAGCCATATAATAAGAGTCCTTATTATATAGCAAATCTTACTGGTCACGTTGGCAAAATGAACAAGTTCTGATTAGTTCCCTGTGCAGGCCAATGCACTGCGGACCGTTAAGATAAAGGTCATTAGGACAATTCTTATGAATGCGCCTGCGTTGCTTTCAAGCGGTTTTTCCTCGAGTGTTTTTAAATGTACGTGATAGTTTGTGTTTACAATCTCATGACAAGTGTATGGGGACCTACGACTATCACTCGAAATTTGCCTAAAATTTATAAAAAAAAAAAAAAGCTTATTAAAGAAAAAAAATAATAATAAAACGAAACAAAATGAAAATAATTACTTTTTAAATCTGAAGTAAAAGGAGATTAAAGTGAAAACCATTTAGCAAAAAAAGTGGAATGAAAATGAAATAAAATCCAAACAAAACCCAATTGGACATAAATTGAATTTTATGAATTTTTCTGTAAATTTGAGGAAGTAGTAATATGATAATAAATTTGGGGAAGTAGTAATATGATAATATGAAACTCATTGAAACAGCTGCTGAAGTTAAAAAAGTTCACATTTACATGTACATAATGTATATGCATGTGCATCGTGCGTGGAACTTTAGAAAAACATCCGACACATGTCTTCCACCAAGCCTAAGAATGATAATCTAATGATTACTGATAATCTGTTGCCTATTTATCAGACATACAGCTGAGTCTTTCAAGTATATTTCCTTTGATAAAGTGTGTTATCGTTTGTCTCACGATGTAGTCACTGAGCGATCGCGTGCAATTTGAAAGGAACTTTACGCGTAATTAAACCTGATCCTATTTTATGAAAATGGCTATTTATACTTTACTCAACAATACTCTTCAAGTTAGGCCAGGTTTGTCAGCTCTTTCGGTCACGATTACGAGGCATTATTACAAAATCTATTTTGAAGCTCCACGTTTTCTTCCATAGGTGAAATACGTCCTGTATGACATTTACGGCAAATAAGCCAACACATAATGTCTTTTACAGCTGCCCGATAGTTTGAACTGAATGCAATCAGGATAAACGGATTTAACGCTGTACTAAGCAACGGAAATATGTAATAGAAAAAACCCACAAATAAAAGACATTTATCCTTCATAAATATCGATGGATATAGTATTTTTAGAAACAAGTAAACATAAAGAGGTGTCCAGCAAGCGAAAAATCCCAGCGTGACCGATCTAAAGATCCTCATAATGTTATCATTTTGTTTAACTCTCTTAGCATGTATGTTGCTTCTGTTACCGTTAACTAGCTTCGCTCGTCTTCTTAACTGTTTCATGATGCGATGATAGAGGACAAGTATTAAAATCAGTGGCGCACAATAGAATACTGCAAAACCTAGGAGGTGGTAGATTTTTAGCGCTAAGCCACTCATTCTGTTTCTACAAAATGTCTGTTGTTCTTCTTTAACGATTTCACTGTAAACAAAGTATGGAATTAAGCCCAACAGAGACAGAACCCAGGTCAGAAGAAGAAAAACTGCTCTTATCCTTGTGGTGATGTTAAGGGCTTTCAACGGGAATACGACTGCAATGAATCTATCCACGGCGATTAACACCAAGCTCTGAATTGACACCACATACGAGACTGCCCGCGAGTAAATTCCTAATTTGCAAGCAAATTTGGCGAGTTTTGGGTCCGCAATGAGGCTTCCACCAGCTTTCAACATGCCTTCTGTCGCGTAGAGCGGCCAAGCCAGGACAACAGATACTAGGTCAGAAATTGCCATGTTCACTATGAAGTAATTGGAACTTGTCTTCAATGTGACCATCTTCATGAAAGTTACGATCACAAGAAGGTTCCCTGTGCTTGCTAAAAAGCTGACCATTGAGAGGGTGACTGTGAACATTGTTGACACGCCGACAGAACAATTTGTTTGGTTGATATTATCAGCTTCTGTATTGTTATCCATCTTCCAACACAGTTTCGTCGTCTCTTCTCTTCTTTTGGCTAATAGTATTTCTTCAACCCACTGAGTTTCGTTGAAATGATTCTTTATTGTGATGATTTATCAAGTATTGCAGTCCAATATCAGGCATTGCAGCCCATTTTAAAGTTTAATGTTTATTTACCTTTCAACCAACAATTGGCAGTAGGCAGGAATACAATTTGATATATATACTCAACGTTAGGCGCTGTTAAATATTTATACGTTAATTTGCGAAATACGAATTTGAATTTTAATAAATGTTATCACTACTTCTAATTTCAGTAGACCAAACATAGAATTTTCTGGACGTTTCTTATGTAAATAATGGTGATAATCACCTGCAAATCTACGCAAACTAAAAATTATCCACCAATGTAGTCACAGGAAATGATGAAATATTCGATCATTGGGTACTAGTTAAAATCGTAAGAAAATGGATGTCTCGCTCGCAGTTTTTGGCTTAATGAGAAAATAAACTTAGCAAGAATGTTGTAACACTTTGCTGATAGTATTTTCCTCGCGCAACCCGGCAATTGAATGCTTAGGTTTTTTCTCGCCACACTCTTCCCTCTCTACTGCATGCGTATCTTTGTTCAGTTGAAATTAAAATTCATTTCCCTTTAAACCGGTTTAAGATTAACTAGAATCAAGACATTTTTAAAGAAAAACAAAAACGGAGGATTTAAAATTATATGGAACTGCCAGACTAGATCTAAATACTGAGTATCACGCTGATTGATTATACCATTTATCTCCAAAGCAGCGTCTGGGATGTAAACTGGAAGCTAATAGCGTCGCGCACAGTTTCTAAAAATAGATTACATCACTAGAGACCCCCCAAATGACTCAGACAAGAATTACAGTGCGCTAGAAGGTTTTGTATGAGCGCGTTGTCTTCTAGACCAGAAAATCAGGCAAAAATGGAACGATTGGTAGTCTAGGTTTTTGAAGTCCAATATCAAGTATTGCAGTCCATTTTAATGCTATGTTCATTCACCCTTCAACCAACATTTGGCAGTAGGCAATTTTAGTAAATGTTATCACAACTTCTGATTTCGGTAGACAAAACATAGAATTTTCTGGAGGTTTCTTAAATTAGGGACCTTACGCAAACCACGACGGCAACGGTAACGAGAAGGTCTCCAAACAAAAGGTTTAATGAGCAGTACAATGGCTGTGCACGCGCGTTATAATTCTTGGTACATTTCTTTTCCGTCCTCTGCAAATCAACAACGTGAAATGACCAATTTCCAAGTTTTTTGACAACGGGACCCACTACGGCTAAGTTTTCGTATTTCTGTTAGGAACTGAACGCATTCGTAGCATATTCAGCAGAGGCAAGTTTTAATACCGACAAACACACTAAATAGACCTAAATAAAAGTGAAATTCCAAAATAAAATATAAGCACACTTCAGTAATAGGCGTCGTTCTCGCCGTCGCCGTCCTACATACGTAAGGTCCCTAATAATGGGCTAACCACCTGCAAATCTACGCAAACTAAAAATTATTCAACAGTGTAGTCACAGGTAAGGATAAAATATTAAATCATTGGGTACTAGTTAAAATCGTTAGAAAAAGGATGTCTTGATGGCAATTTTTGGCTTAAGGAAACTGTTTCAAAGGAAAAAATAAACTAAAAAAGAATGTCGTAACATTTGTTGATAGCATTTTCCTCGCCCAACCCGGCAATTGCATGCCTATGTTTTTTCCGCCACACTCTTCCCTCACTACGGCGTGCGTATCTTTGCTCAGTTCATTAACCAGAATCATGACATTTTTAAAAAATGATGTCATTTTCTTTTTTCACTACAAAAACGGAGGATTCTAATTTATGTAACAAAATAAAGACTAGACCGGTCTCAATACTGGTTCTAAGATTTCGCTGATTGATTAAATCATTTATCTGCAAAACACTGTCCGGGATGTAAACAGGAAGCTAATATCTAGCTATTTCTGAGAAGAAGAATTCGGTCTCTAAAGAAACGAGAAACACCTTTGTTAAATTGAAATTTAAAAATAAACCAGGAAGCAAATTAAAACAGAACGACAAACTGCACGTTTTGTCGATGCAGGTGATATGGTGAGGTTAAAACGATCGATTACCATAATGCGAAACTTTAATATACACATTATCTAATCTTTTCGCTTATCAGACTTAATGGCTAATACAATCACTTACCGATGGATTTATCATGTCTTACTGAGATATTAGCTCTTTTTCCTTGAGTACGTGTGCGGGCTGAATTCTGTAAATCCTGCAATCTGACTGGTTCCGGGTGTGGGCGGAAATTTACGATCTCGCTTACGCTTCATTTCGGGGAATATTTGAAATATTTCACCAAAAATTTTCCAGTTAGAATAACTTAGCCGTTACCATGAGCATTTAATTGATATTAATCGACAAAATTTAATTTTACGCAATTTTCATTTTGTGCTTTCGTTTGGAAGTCAGTTGTACCCTCGATCGAAAAAGTTTAGGAACAGGTACGGTTTTTAATTGAAATTCAAATCGCCGTATATTAAGTAAAATATTGAGTTCAAATTCTTTGTTTTTTATTCCTGTTTTTCCCCCAAGCCAAATGTCTATCAAGTTTCATTCGAGAAGTATTAATATTATTTACTCCAAACAGTTGTGCTGTTGAAAAGAACCAAAATCTATACGTGAACAGTTTGCCAAGGTTCCTTTCCTTTTAAATCAATGAAAATTGTAAATTGCTGCATATGCTATGTCTCGTAGAATTGTTTTCATTGCCCCTTTGTTAACGCTGAGGTCCTAAAGCCTTAGGTTAGAAGAAATAATAGCTGTGACTCAGTGGTATAGTTAATAACGTCCGTTGGTGTCTATAGCTATCTACTGGACTTTCTGTTATTAAATAATCTTAGTGTAAGATTGTTTCTCAGACTTTCTCGTCAGTTTTAAGTCTTTCATTTCGCAGTTTTTTTTAGTTTATTAGTGACATTGAACAACGACACTTGCGAGGACCTGTGCGCAATCATACAGATATTGCGAAGCAACCTTCTAAGCACACCAAGGTTTATTTAGCAAATGAAAAAAGTAAAAATAATTCGTTATTTGCCGGACTAGGTCGGTCGATATAGGAAAAAAATTTGCCCTAGGTCTCGAGTGCGGCCCTCAGCCGTAGTATTCAGGACTTCATAATGGAACGGCAAATGACACATATCATATGCATTTGGTATAATCGACAGTACATGAGCGGTATTTGATAAACACTTAAAAAAACACAGAGCCACAGACATCTTCTATATGTGACTGAATACTTTGTCTCCTATTGGGATCCAGTACATCTTTCTAATTTTATGGACATGCCAACCCCTTAACCTTTCTCCAAGCGTTTGATGTCCAAGACGTAAAGATATCTTTCTTTAAAAACGTGTTGAAAAGTGTCCTGCCTGCAAAATTAATTTAGGTTGAGGTATAAAATATAATGACGAAATGGCCTGATCGGGTCCTCTGTTACAAAGATGTCTTCCCTTTTGTTTTTACTTGAAATACCTTTTCCAACAACTGTAAACTTTATAAACCGTAAAGCAAAGAGGCTAAGATAAGGGACCTGGACACTAACTATTCTGGTTATACTTACAGAATTCGCAGATCAGTGAGGTCTTGAAAGATTTCGGGGGAAAGCTCAATCAACCGGTTATCCGCCAGATACCTGATAAATATGAGATTGAAAATTGAGGTATAAATATATAAAAACCAAATACGTCAACAATCCTCAGGGAATGTAACGTTTTAATACCAATTGTAAAAAAAGAAGTTTAATTTAAAAATCATGAGTGTGTAAAGAAAATGAGGAACAATCCTGAAGGTAATTAGTTACGGTGTCGATTAGTGTTTCACATACTCTCCACTTTCCGCCAAACATCTCAGTACAACAAACGTTCTACTTACAGTTCTCTCAGTGAAGAAAAATTCTGAAATGTCTTCGCTGATATTGCAGTTAGTGAATTTGAACGTAGGTCTCTGAAAAAGTGACAATATAAGGGTAATAAGGAGTCTTTACCAGCGTGAAAATGGAGATTTACGGAAAATTGAAGTTGGCTTTAATCTCGTAAAAGTTGGTCGTACAGGTTCATGCAATAACTTAAATGTTGTTGAAGGTTTTCAAAGCCGATTTCTACTCTACCGCGCTTGAAGTTTCCAACATTGATTTTTTTTT